ACCATGAATTTGTAAACAGAAAATGAACAATCCATAGGAACCATTAAGGAGTGTTTTCTGTGAAATATTTAATATTTTTGACACAAAAGAATACATAAAATGTATTACCTGTTGCATAAGAGGAGATACATGCATATTTTTGCATAAAATAACAGTAAAAATGGAAAACAGTGAAGTTGATTACTACAAAGACTAAAGGAGAAGAGAGTGAAAGGGGTACAAGAAAAAAGTTTTCTGAATTCACCTTTTAGTATAAACTTTACTTTGAGAAGTTCCTGTAATGCTCTATGGACCAAAAAGAAAATTAATAAGAATGGGAGTAAAACTATATGCAAGCAGAAACAAATTAGCCATTAAATGACTCCTATAACCACACTGAAATGAAGAGTGGGGAGAGACCAAACTAATGTAAGTGGAACCACAGCCCTTGGGCCATAAACCCTCATTCTAAGGGATTTGATTGAATCAAAGATGTCATTGGTTGTAGGGTGGGACTCAATTTCAGAGGTGTTAAGCTGTGAGAAAATGGAATCTTACATGGAAAAATGAAAATTAGAATTCAATCAATAATCCAGGTAGTTCAAGGGTATCCAAACAGGACTTCCCTGGTGGTCTAGTGGTTGACTCTGTGGACCCCTAGTCGGGGAACTAAGATCCCACCTGTCAAGTGGCCAAAGGCAGTAAAATTTTTTAAAAAGTATCAGAATAGGAATGCAGGGGATTTCAGAATGCAAGGGATTTCAGAAATCTCTTGCATTACTATACACTAACAATGAGAAGACACAAAGAAATTAAGGAAACCCATTCACCACTGCAACAAAAAGAATAAAATACTTAGGAATAAATATACCTAAAGAAACAAAAGACCTATGTATAGAAAACTATAAAACACTGATGAAAGAAAGATGACACAAATAGATGGAGAAATATACTGTGTTCATGGGTCAGAAGAATCAATATAGTGAAAATGAGTGTGCTACCCCCAAAGCAATCTATAGATTCAATGCAATCCCTATCAAGCTACCAATGGTATTTTTCAGAGAACTAGAACAAATAATTTCACAATTTGTATAGAAATACAAAAAAATCTCAAATAGCCAAAGCAATCTTGAGAAAGAAGAATGGAACTTGAGGAATCAACCTGCCTGACTTCAGACTATACCACAAAGCTACAGTCATTAAGACAGTATGTTACTGGCACAAAGACAGAACGATAGACCAATGGAACAAAATAGAAAGGCCAAAGATAAATCCATGCACCTATGGAAACCTTATCTTTGACAAAGGAGGCAAGAATATACAATGGAGAAAAGACAATCTCTCTAACAAGTGGTGCTGAAAAACTGGTCAACCACTTGTGAAAAAATGAAACTAGAACACTTTCCTTTTTTTTTTTTTTCCCATTTATTTTTAGAAACTAGAACACTTTCTAACACCATATACAAAAATAAACTCAAAATGGATTAAAGATCTAAATATAAGACCAGAAACTATAAAACTCCTAGAGGAGAACATAGGCAAAACACTCTCTGATAGAAATCACTGCAGGATCCTCTATGACCCACCTCCCAGAGTAATGGAAATAAAAGCAAAAATAAACAAATGGGACCTAATTAAACTTAAAAGCTTTTGCACAGTGAAGGAAACTATAAGCAAGGTGAAAAGACAGACTTCAGAATGGGAGAAAATAATAGCAAATGAAGTAACTGACAAAGAATTAATCTCAAAAATATACAAGCAGCTCATGCAGCTCAATTCCAGAAAAATAAGCGACACAATCAAAAAATAGGGCAAAGAATTGAACAGACATTTCTCCAAAGAAGACATACAGATGGCTAACAAACACATGAAAAGATGTTAAACATCACTCATTATCAGAGAAATGCAAATCAAAACCACAATAAGGTACCATCTCACGCCAGTCAGAATGGCTGCTATCCAAAAGTCTACAAACAATAAATGCTGGAGAGGGTACAGAGAAAAGGGAACCTTCTTACACTGTTGGTGGGAATGCAAACTAGTCCAGCCACTATGGAGAACAGTGTGGAGATTCCTTAAAAAACTGAAAATAGAACTGCATACAACCCAGCAATCCCACTCCTGGGCATACACACCGAGGAAACCAGAATTGAAAGATACACGTGTACCCCAATGTTCATCGCAGCACTGTTTACAATAGCCAGCACATGGAAGCAACCTAGATGCCTATCTGTAGATGAATGGATAAGAAAGCTGAGGTACATATACACAATGGAATATTACTCAGCTATCAAAAAGAGTGCATTTGAATTAGTTCTAATGAGGTGGATGAAAGTGGAGCCTATTATACAGAGTGAAGTAAGTCAGAAAGAAAAACACCAATACAGTATATTAATGCATATATATGAAATTTAGAAAGATGGAATGATGACCCTATATGCAAGACAGCAAAAGAGATACAGATGTAAAGAACAGACTTTTGGACTCTGTGGGAGAAGGCAAGGGTGGGATGATTTGAGAGAATAGCACTGAAACATGTATATTATCATATGTGAAACAGATCACCAGTCCAGACTCGATGCATGAGACAGAGTGCTCAGGGCTGGTGCATTGGGATGACCCTGAGGGATGGGGTGGGGAGGGAGCTGGGAGGGGGTTTCAGGATGGGGGACACATGTACACCCATGGCTGATTCATGTCAATGTATGGCAAAAACCACTACAATATTGTAAAGTAATTAGCCTCCAATTAAATAAATTAATTTTTTTAAGTATCAAAATAAATGCCAAGAAGCACTTGTCAGGGTAAGGGCTCTTCTGATATTTATGATAAGTAATATAGAAAAGTATGTGTGTGTTAGGGGAAATAGTAGATTATTGTTTAATCAGTACAGAGATTCTGTTTGGGATGATGAAAAAGCCTTGAAATGATTGTCGTGAGGGTTGCTCAACACTGTGAGTGTTCCTAATGCTATTGAATTATATGCTTAAAAAGGGTTAAAATGGTAAATATATTTTAGCACAATTCAAGTTGCCCCAAAAAATTTATTGTAAGGAAATTTTAGTAGAAAATTTAGAGTAAACCCTGTATGTCATTTATACATGTATATAAAATACATAATAAGATACCCATGTAATCTTGAGGCAGAGGAGACATTTTAAATTTCCTTAAAAGTTATTGATGGGACTGGTGGCAGAGCATAACAGACCATGGCTCTGGCTACCCGGTTTCATTTCCCAGCTCCAAATGTTTGGGCTCAGGCCCCTCACTTATTTTCTCTACCTCAGTACCCTCATTTAATTAATTTAAACTATAATGATAGCACCTACTTCATAAGGTTGTAGTGACACAACTAAATGAGGTAACAATCTAAGAAGTTAGAATACTGCCTGGCATAATAAGTACTTATTATGAATGGCAAGACTCTTACAAACATAAAATCCAAGTAACACACTGCGTGAAATATTGAAACAAGTATGTCAAATAGCCTAGAAGTCCATAAAAAGGATTTGAAAAAGCCAGTGAACACTCAATTCACATACACAGTATAGATGTCCAAAAAATATGAAAAAAAATCATAATTTTTCATCTATTTATTTAGTCAATGCTAAAAATCAGTAGTATCTGAATGTATCATTCAGACTTGTGTTTAGTAACAAAATCCCCAAACGTGGCTTCAGTGAATTATGAGTTTTCCTTTTTACTCATTTCTGAAGCATCATCCTCACAAACTCAGCTCTCTACTCCCAGTTTTAAGAGCATTCTCTCACATTAATTTCAAATCCATTTGCGTGTATGTCAAAGACCTCCCTCCCTAAACACAATCTGTCCTTTCTATTTCTCCTCAAGGTATATTTTTTGTTCTCAACCCATCTTCTCTAGGAACTCCAAAAATACCATTCTTACTCTCATTTTCATTCTGAGCTTGCCAGGTTTAGCTGAAACTCAACCTCCTTTCAACCTTTATAGACGAAACTCCTCGGAAACCACAAATCTCCTGAGTCATGCAGGTATCCCGTTTGTTCAGTACTGTTTTGCCCTCTTTTCACATTCTGTCCTTCAACTGCTTTGCTGCTATTTACAAGGCACTTGAGAACAGGAGCTTTCCAGCCATATTTCCCACCATATGACTGACCTCTGATGCTAGGAGTATTTATAGCTTACCAAACAGACCTTAGTCTTTCACACATTTGTCCTCTGTCGCCGTCCTAAAAACAAATCCGTATGATTACTTTCCTCTTCTCCAGGCAACTTCAAGGTTTTGCCCCGGGGAGAGAAGCTTTCTGTAGCTGTTGCCTAGTAGGGATAGTAAGGCAAGGAACCTGCGTTCCATTCTGTACTATTGGGTAAGCTCTTGTAGAATTTAATCTTCACAACTTGAAAAGGCAGGCCTTACCGCAACCTTGTAACAAATGAGGACTCAAAGCCTCGGGGCAATCTGGGCACTGTCCAAGGACACAGCGAGGAGATTGGCAATGCCAAGAAGGGGCCCTTTCCTTCTGATAAAGGATGCTGCCTGCCGCCACTAGTCTAGTAGAGGAAGTATGCTTGGTGACCACCTGCTCTCCAGGGTATCTCGCAGGTAGCAGTTGCTCGATGAACATTTGCTGAGTGAACAAATCATTAGAACTCAGTAAACACTGCATAAATGTGGTGCAGAATGCTGGAGCTGGAAGGGACACTGATAACCACAGAGTAATCGACTCGTTTTTCTGAGGAATCCTCCCAAAGGGAGGATTCGAAATGTCGGTGCCCTACAGCCGGTTAATGACAGAACTAAGACACGGAAGAATTTAGGTATGTGTCTGTTTAATAGATGATGAACGCCTGCTATGGGAGAGTGCTAGACTCTGGGGAGACTATGTGGTCAAGGAGAAGCACAAGCTTCCCAATTCCCTCTCCAGAGCGCTAAAAAAAGGCGGGGGGGGGGGGGGGGAGAAAAATTCTCAGAGAAAAGGACGTATAGGAAGAGCGAGGCGAGACTGGTCTTGGACCCCAGTGGAAAAGTCCGATACAAAACGTTAAAGCGAGACAGCGGTGCGCCCCTCGGCCTGTCTCTCCGCCGCGCCACAAGGGGGCGCTGCACGCCCTCTCGCGTCCCGGGCCCGGCGGCACCGCCCGCTCGCCTTTTTTCCCGGCGGAAATGCCCGGGCGATGACGGAAAGCCGGAGGGAGGGGAAAGAAAGAGCGAGAGAGAAGGAGCCAGGGAGGCGAGAGCGGCCAGCGGGCGGCAGGCGGCGGGTGCCCATCCTCCGGCGGCAGCTGCGCGGAAGCCCCGCACGTCCCCGCGTCCTTCACTGACTCCCGGGGCGCGCGGGCCGGGGCGGGCGAGGGTCTCCCAGAGGCCGCGCGCTCGGAGCCGCTCGAGGGGCTTGGGCGGGGCGCGGGGTCCGCAGTGCCCGGCTCCTCCCTCCCCGGCCGGGAGCTGGCGGCGGCGGCGGCGGGGGGCTAGGGGAGCGGCGCCCGGGGCGGGGGCGCGCGGGGGGCGGGGGCCGCCATGGACGACAAGGCGTTCACTAAGGACCTGGACCAGTGGGTCGAGCAGCTGAACGAGTGTAAACAGCTCAACGAGAACCAAGTCCGGACGCTGTGTGAAAAGGTGAGCGAGAACAGGGGCGAGGTGCGGCCGGGGAGCCTCGGCTAGGTGGGTGGGTGGGGGGTGCGGGGACCCCTCCAGGGCCGCCCGCCTGCCCTCACCCCGGCACCGGGTCCAGGCACCGGCATCGGCACCTGGGCGGGGCCGGGCCTTTCCAGGACCCCTCTCGGGACACAGCCCTGGATTAGGCCCGGACACCCCCCCCACCCCCACGCCCCGGATCCAGACCTAAGGCGTCCGGGATGGGTGGGCGGGGGCTCCGCGGCACCTGGAATTCATCACTCGAGTGTGATTGTGTGACCGTCGCTCTAGTGAGGATTGCTGACAACCCCAGCATTAACCCGGGCGAACTGGCAATCCCGAAGCTTCAGCCGCCAGGCAGATTAATCTCCTGCAGCCTCGTAATGGAAAATGCACTGAGATGAGCCTGGGTGTTGTGAATTATCAACGCGCGTAATAAACAGAGGCTTTTTCTCAGGTGACTCGGCCCTTCAAACATCTCTAATACTTGGTAATGCGTCAGGCATTTGTTTGTAGAGAGGTGGGTGGAATGGCAGACTGTGATTTTTTAAAATAGAAGTTGACTCTAGTTAAGACAGATGGTGGCTGGTCTTCACGTTGAGAGGCTCTTTGGAAGCAAAAATGTTTGATTTTTCAGAAACAAGACAGCAAGTCTTAAGTTTGGCAACAGTGCTTACCTGAAATGATAAGTGGGGTCTGTGTTTCTCCTGCAGAGTAGCACTTTTCAGAAAGTTATTTCTGTTTCTGTTACATGGAAGGTTTTTTTCATTTCCAAAGAGTAATAAAATATGCAGATGGTTTACTGTTTTCAGTCGCTCTTGATTGTTTGATCCTAGACAATCTTCTGAATTCTGTATCCATTTTTTCTTAATCATTGGAATTATTTTGGACTTCACGTTTTTTCTCATTCATCTTTTATAGGCTAGACTTTTTATGTATAAAGGTCTCATATGAAGGAGTAACAAAATTATTTATTCTTTAATGCTTTTGAATTGTTATGTATTTTTAAGCCATAATCCCTAAGACTTTCTTGATTTTGTTTGGAAGGCAGGATGCCTCAGAAAGGCATTGGAGGTAAGATTTTGTTAATATTATTTATAGAGTACCATTAAATGTTTTAGAAATGGAAGAGTTAATACTAAGTTGAAAATAGTGTTTTGTGTTTTAAATTAAGTGTAACGTTGTTTAGGGTCTTTATGTATTAACTCTTTTTTTTTGAAGTACAGTGTTGCATTTAAGTGTTCAACAAACTTACTCAGCTATAAACATACAATATTTTTTTTCAGGTTGTTTTTCATTATAGGTTATTATAACTATTTATTGATACAGGAGGATGTATTTCTGTAAATAGAACTGCTAAATAAGTGGTATTTTTGTGTTTCTGAGACAAATTGCTTATGGACCGCTTCAAGTTCTGTCTACATTCAATTTTCTTATGTGATAACGTGTAATTTCATGTCTTGAAATTTATGTTTTACATCACTCTCTGTCTCTCAGGCTCTAGTGTCAGGTGAAATACCCAGTTCTGAAATTAGCTGAGTCAGTTAACCTCACTGTGAACAGTAGACATAGACTTTAAGTGGTGGGCAAAGTTAGTAGTTAAATCAGTTTTTCCCTCTGACTGTCTAATAATTTTAAGATGTCTTTCTGGAGAAGAATGTTGTACCCCTCCTCGATCACACTTGATCCTTAATCACCTGAGCAAGCTTTCTGAATTTGTCCAGAGAGATTATTTTGATTTCAGCTCCTAAATAAATTGGACTGAAAAAAAAAAGAAAAATAAATAAATAAATTGGACTGCCAATCCCTAGGATCTTTGAGGTATATTTAAGCTTATATCTTACGCACTTTTTTCTTTGAATATTTGTACTCTTCCACCAAGCATGAATTTTTAAGTGGCAGTCCTCTGTCATTTATCTTTATCCTCCGCTTTTGACGGGGATGTGGAGGGCTGGAGAAGAGTGCCCCCCCCCCTTCTCTGCAGTGCTCAATGTGGAGCCCCTTTCCAGCAGCTGTGGCAGACCTTTGTGGGGTTGATTTTCTGTCATCTAACCTTAAGAGTTCCATCTTACTTCCCTACCTCTGCCCTCCTTTTTCCTGCTGAGTGCAGCATTTGTTTATAATGAACTCTCTCTCGGGGCCAGCCTGCATTCAGACCCTGGTTCCACAGCTTGATGGCTGCCCAGCCCTGCCCCTCCTACACCTTATCGCTGAGGCTGGGGTGATCGCTGACCTCCTGGGGCAGTTGTATTAAGACTCCACTGGGGTGAAGTCCTAACAAGAAATTTGCAGTAGATAGTAAATGAAGAAAAGCTATTAAAAGAAAAAAAAATAGATGGCTATCCTATCTTCTTTTAAGTGTCATCCTATTTTCATTTGGAAGAAGCTGCAAAATAAATAGATTTGTCGATATAACTTCTCTGTGGAGAATGTACTTCAAGAGAGGTTTTCCATCTAGTGGCTCTAGAACTCTGAAAAATAAAGTTTCATTATTTCCTGTGGTCCCTGTTACCTGAAGTACGAACTGCTGGGATTAGTAGTGATTTTAGTAGTAGTTTCTTACTTGGTCTACTTAATATGTGTTCTCCCTTTAAGAATGGCAGGCATAAAGAAAGAATATAAGAGAAAATAAAAAGTTATGCCTAATGTTTTAAAACTGTAAAAATCATCTTTTTGTTTAATTCTTTGTGACTAGATTTTAGGTTTTTTAATAATATTTTTTGAGAGTCTATTAGAAATATTATTCTATAGAAAGTTACATCATAGGATGGTGATTCCTCCCTCAAAATTAAATTTCTGTTCTAACTCAGATTGCCTGAATCACAAAGAAGTCAGCTGAAATTAAAGACCAGAGTGGTACTGGGAAATAGCCCTGTTTTGAGGTAGTGACAAAATAAAATCCATCCAAATGCCAATTGGAGAAGAACTACTGATTAAAAAATATATATGGGTATGAATGATATGGTATGTCTGGCCTTAGTTTCTGTCTAGAGAAAAACTGCTTAAAATAGTTCAGGCATGTCTTCCAAGAAGATGGCTAACTCTTCGCCTGAACTTAAATGAGCAGCCCAGGGGCCTCCCTGGTGGGCCAGTAGTTAAGGATCCGCCTTGCCGTGCAGGGGACGCAGAGTCAGTCCCTAATCTGGGTCCCGCACGCGGAGCGCCCAAGCCCATCACCACAACTTCCAAACCCACGTGCTGCAACCACTGAGGCCTGCATGCTCTCGGGCCCGTGCTCCACAGCAAGGGGAAGCCCATGTGAAGCAGCGAAGATGCAGCACAGCCAAAAATTAAATTAAAAAGTTTTTTGGGGCCAGCTGCACATTTAGCCCCTCTTGGTGTATAGAGTGGTTGCTTCTGCCGTTTGTGCAGTGTGCACTGTGCTTTATAAAGATAGGGTGCCTGGAGAGCCAGCCTGGCACAGTGGAGGACATTCTGTGACTAGAACTATATTTAACGTTTGGTAGAGTCTCTGGAGGAGACATTTTTAGTCTCTTTGACCTGATAAACTTTATTTTTTTCTGTAGAACCTTGGTGATGATAACTCTAAGCAGGAAGGGAATTTTAGCCCATGTGTGTGCGAAAAGAGCTTTATGCTGATGATTGTACAGTGGCTACTTAGAAACAATTTGAGGTTTGTGTAGATAAATATGTAAACTCTATATTGGTCTAATGGATATGTTCCTGGGTCCTGGCCTCAGCCTTGAAAGAAGCAGAATTCTCTGTAGGTTATTACTTCACTGATGTGAAAGAGCATGCATAAATTCCTGAATGCCTAAAATGAAAATTAGGTCCTGGTAAAAATGATTTTTCTGAGTCGAGAAAAGCTCTTGAATAGTTTTCTTTAATAGTTTGTACTTAAAAATTGGTGTTAACAGCCAAAAAGCGTAACTATTACTTTCATTTTATCTTCCCTTGAGCAAGTGTTGGTGCCGGCTCTGGTGACCCATTGATAGAGTTGAAAATGCGGTGATGTAGAGGACTTGCCTGCTGGCCCGTGGGTGAGGACCCTGCCTTCCAGGTCAGGGGCGCCATTTCAGTCCCTGGTCAGGGAGCGAGGATCGCACACTGCAGCTGCTGAGCTCCCGGGCCACAGCCAGGACCTGACCCGGCCGGATACAAAGAAGTCATTTTAATTCAGTGATCGAGGTCGAAAGTAGCCTGTTTCTTTCTTACTGTAACAAAAAATAGCATGACCACGGTGAAATACGAAGTTAAAACCCAGTATTACCAACTGAACAAATCATTTTCCATGCTTATGTAAGCCATCCTTCATGTCAGACAGGTAAAGAAACTAAACCAGACTAGACCAGCATGAACTACTGCTTAAGACTAGAAAGCAGCCTTTTTAAAATCAGTTCATCATTTCTCAGTTGTCCACAGGATGTGTAAAATCATGTTCACAGATAAAATGAAGATACATTATAACTACTATCACATGGAGTAGTTTTATATGCAACATACGTCTTTTATTCTACTGGAAGATCTTGCAGAGATGTTTCTTTCACTTTTTTTTTTAGGACAAATGCTATGAAGGACTTGGTGAATGAAGTCTTCTTTGATTGAAGGAAATCAAAATGCCATAAATTGAAGCTAAAATTAATACCAAAACAGTCACTGCATTTTAGAGTA